AATAAAGTAAAGAAACTTAAAGGTGAGTTTGGCAAGAGCATCACTGTGCTGTTTGTCAAGGCAAATGAATCTTGAATTTGAATGGTAGTAGTTTCTCTTAAACAACCAAGCTTTTTTAAACCTCTCCACAAATAATGTCAGTGGCAGATTATGTCTGAAAGTGTTTGCTGGCGAGTGGAAATCTTCCCTGACCCCATATTGCTGTCATGAAAGAAGAGCCTAATCCCATAAAATATTCTTGACAGCCTCGTGTCAATTACCACACAGCTGTGATTTCTCATCTGGGTCACAGCCTGTGTAACATTTGCCATCACTTAATGGCTTCAGGTTTCTCCATTCAGAAGCTCAGGTCACAGTAGGAGATTGAGCTTCATCTCTGGTTGAAACCTGGTTGGCTTATGACTGAATCCTCCTACCTCCTCACTGTTGTGTGAAAAAACTTGTAGGGAGACCTTGATTTCCTCTTCTGTTTAATGGGGACCGTATCTCTCTTGTAAAATCATTGTGAGCAATGTTTGTATGTCTGTGTTCACAGCAGCATTATTTGCAGTGCAAAAAGGTAGAGGCAACCCACATGTTCATTGATGGATGAATGGATAAACAAACAAAATACACCCAATGGAATATTACTCAACCCTAAAAAGGAAGAAAATTCAGACACATGCTACAGTATGGATGAATCTTGAACACATTATGCCAAGTTAAATAAGATATTCACAAAAAGACAAATGCTGTATGATTCCACTTATAGGAGGTCCCTAGGGAAGTCAAATCCATAGAGACAAGAAAGTAGAAAGGGGGTTGCCAGGGTCCAGGGAGAGGGGGAATGGGGAGTTAGTATTTAATGGGTAGAGAATATCAGTTTTGCGAAATGAAAAGAGTTCTGAAACTGGATGATAGTGATGATTGCACAACATTGTGAAAGTACTTAATCTGATGGTAAATTTTATGTTATGTTCATTTTATCAAAATGGGAAAAAATTATGAGCATTAAATGGCATCAAGTAGATAAGTGGCTACCATATCATTGTTGTTCACTAAATAGTAAAGTAACAGCTTTCACTATGTGTACGATAGTAAAATATGTGGTATTTTAATGGTTCTGTGAAACTTCATCTTATGAGTATACCACATTTGTTTCCCTTTGTTTGGCTTGTGTATTTCTTATAGTATTCTACCATGGTAATAATGACAGTGAATTTTTTTTTGCATGTGTATATCTTTTCTATTATTTGAAGTTATACCTTTGAGATGGATTTCCTGGATCACTTAATCAAGGCAAATGAGCATCTCTGTGGCTCTTGCTACGTATACCCATGGGGTTTCAGAACAGATTTAGTGATTTTACCCTGTCACTAGCCAAGTAAGGGCACCATTTCATTGTATCCTCAACAGCACTAAGATGCTTCTAAGCAGTTTTATTAAATAAAATAAGAGCTAATATGTTAGTGTTTTAATATGCATTTATTTACTTTCATTTTGATCACTAAAAATGTTGACATTTTGCATGTCTCAATTTACATGTGTTTCTTCACATAGGAAGAAATAGCCTGTTTACATCTTTTGCTTATATTTCAGTGTGGTTTCAATGTTTCTCATGCCAAATATATCTATCATGTTGATAACATATTACCATTTTTAATATTCAGAGATTTTTAGTTCTTATATAGTTGAATCACTTATTTAAACATTTCAAATTATAAAATAATACGTTAAACTAGAACAAAAGTAGTTTTACCATCACATTATTATGCTTCCTGTATCTTTTCCTCAAAGTCTCCACTGTCATTCTTTTCATATCTTTTAGCATAAAATCTGTTTAGATGCTGACTTGAATGACTACAGTATTTGAATTAAAATTATATGGACTAACCAATTAATAATAAAATATTAACATAGTAATTAATAGCCCAGTATAAAAGGACATGCCAATTAGAGCAAAGAAGAAATTAAAATTGCTAATAACCATGAAATTTATGTTTTACTTCACTAATAATATAAATTCATCCTAAATAAAACAATAGAATACTGTCTCCCAGCTATGAATTGCTAAGGATTAAAAACATTGTAATGGTGACTGAGACTGGCCTTCAAAAATGCTGCCAATGGAAAGAGAAAACTGGGTCAACTTTACTGAAAAGCAGTTTGGAACTAGGCATCAAGAAATTTAAAAATGTTTAGAAACATTGATTTAGAAATTCCATTTATATAACTAAGGCTTGAGGCAGCTTCAGAAGCATGGAAAAATATTTACATTTATGGATAAAAATATATTTCAGTCTGATTGCCTGATGACAAGGAGTGATTGAATAAGTAGCTGGACAACCATCTGATGGAGAGTTGTGTATTCATTATAGATGGTGTTTTCTAAAAGTTTTAATGACATGGGGAAATATTCCCGATATAATGGTAAGAGAGGAAAGCATGCTGTAATGAATGCAATGGAAGAAAGTGTGTGTGTGTGTGTGTGTGTGCGCGCGCGCGCGCGTGCGTGCACACATCTGGTAGGCACCCAGGAAGAGATTCATAAAATTTATTGATATTGCTTATGTGGCAGGGGTATAGGTGATTTGTATTTTCCTTTATCTTTCTTTTTTTTTTTTTGAGACGGAGTCTCGCTGTGTTACCCAGGATGCCAGGATGGAGTGCAGTGGTGTGATCTCAGCTCACTGCAACCTCCACCTCCCAGGTTCAAGTGATTCTCCTGCCTCAGCCTCCTGAGTAGCTGGGATTACAGGCACCCACCACCACACCTGGCTAATTTTTGTATTTTTAGTGGAGACGGGGTTTCACCACATTGGCCACGCTGGTCTTGAACTCCCAACCTCAAGTGATCCACCTGCCTTGGTCTCCCAAAATGGTAGGATTACAGGCTTGAGCTAATGCGCCTGGCCTGTATTTTCTTTTTTATACTTCCTCATATTTTCTAAGCTTCAATGTTATCTGCAAATACTGTTTCTACCATCAGAAGAAATTTAAATATTAATCAAAAGATCAAATTAAAGATAATGAATAGATTTCTTTTCTGGATTCATGTTCCAAATGTTCACCTTGCGCTCTTTCCTTCGATGTATTGGTTAGAGCCCTGGACCAGAAGTCAGAAGGTATGTTTTCTTTTTTCAGGTTATGGCCCAGAAATTCACTAGCTGTGTGACCTTGGGCGAATCTAACTTATTTGTGTCATGGTTTTTCAGTTTGTACAATAAGGATTTCTACTTTCCCTACCTGCAGCATTGGACAGTTGTGAGAATTAAAGTGAGATGACTGATATATTGGAAGACACTTTTGCAGATTAAGGTGCCAGTTCAGGGGATTCCCAAAACCACTCGCATGTTTGATAATTTGCTAGAAGGAGTCGCAGAACTCACTGAATGCTGTTATACTCATGGTTACAGTGTCTTACAGGGAAAGGTTGCAGCTCACAATTAGCTAAAGAAAGAGGCTGGGAGGGCTCCCAATGTTTCTGTTCTCTTCTCTCCTGAAGTCAGGATATGCTGACCTTCTGGTGTCTATGTGTAACAATATGCAGAATACCACCACCCAGAGAAGCTTGCCTGAGCTTCAATGTCCAGAGTTTTTATTGTGGCTCCATTGTGTAGGCGTGATTGATTGATTGATTGCCTATGTGGTTGAACTCAGTCCCCAGGTGTTCTGATACCATGTGATCCGAATTCACATGGTTGGTCTTTGTAGCATGGCCAACTCTCACCCTAAGACAATTGGAGGTAGCTGGTTCCATCCTGAGACCCAGTGTGCCCAGCATTGGATATGACACACGTTATCTTCCAGAAGCTGAGGACAAAAGTCCAGACCTCTCTTTGGGCAAGGCCAAGTTCTTTTGTTTTTGTTTTGTTTTGTTTTGTTTTGTTTTTTGTTTTGTTTGAGATAGGGTTTTGCTGTTTTTGCCCAGGCTGGAGTGCAGTGCTGCGATTGCAGCTCACTGCAACTTCCTTCTCCCAGGTTCAAGCAATTCTTGTGCCTCAGCCTCCCGAGTAGCTGGGATTACAGGTGTCTGGCACCACACCCAGTTAATTTTTTGTTTAGTAGAGACAGGGTTTCACCAGATTGGCCAGGCTAAGTCTCGAACTCCTGACCTCAGGTAATGCACCCTTCTCAGCCTCCCAAAGTTCTGGGATTACAGTGAACCACCGTGCCCGGCTGGCCAAATTCTTTACTACACATAAGGTGACTGTGATAAAAAAATTTATATAGCCAAGTGATCTTAGTATGGAGGGATCTCTTATTTGCCATGCTCTAGGACTGCAAAATAAGGAAGGACATGAATTTCACAGGTACAAGCAGTACTGCAAATACCCACCCCTGATCCACCAAACCTTCAGGACCACCACTGAGAACAGGCCTACAGAGGATCCTGCAAAGAGACATATGCCACCGTCATTGTTTACCATGGATATGAATTAGGCTGAGAAAACACTTACCACCCTACTGGGTATTTAAATCTGACCCTTGTCCCGGTGTTAACAGCACAGCGAGTATGTCCCTCCGTTAACTTACTGATCTCATGTGAACGAGTGATCATCCTGCTTTTTACAGGTTTCTCTCCCTGGCACCATCTCACTGTGGTGCAGCTGAGCTCACTACATAAAGCATGGAGTGATGATAAAAATAAATTGGCTCTTTCCCTTTGCAGAGTTTCAAATCTTGAGCGCTATGTCAGGGTGGATCCGTAAGATTTCCCAAGAGTGAGCTTAGAAACCTGAAAACCAGTGTTTGTTTTTTCATGAACTTAAAACAATTTATCAGAGCACAATGTAGAAGTCATCGCAGCAAGCTCACTAGAGGAGAACTGTATGCTTTTATGGAAAAAGAACCAGTAACAGAGCCTTGAGAGAGACTGTTAGCTAAAGTTTAATCATGCTTCCATTCTTCCTTCAGAGGGTAGAGTTTCAGCTTTTGACTGTTGGTTTTTTGTGAACAAAAAACTTGCAATAAATTGATGTTGTCAGTAAATTTCAGTTGTACGTTTTGTTTCTTCCAAGAAAAAACTGGCCATGCAGAAGTCGTCCGAGTGGTGTACCAGCCAGAACACATCAGTTTTGAGGAACTGCTCAAGGTCTTCTGGGAGAATCACGACCCGACCCAAGGTAGAGTGATGAGTGAGCCAGTATTTAATTATCTTACTAATTACAGCTGGGATAATTAGTGTTTGAGCTGCATGGAAGAGATGAACCTTGAAATCACACAGGAGCTCAAGAATATGATTGCAGACATTTATTGACGGAGGAGAGGAGGGGCTGGGGAGAAAAAGGGTGAGAGAATAAAGGCACAGCCACATTCAACGCCCCTGCCCCCCTTACAGCTGTCAGGGGTGGGAAAATTCCCACAGAGGAAGATGCCAGACAATAGCGATCCGTTCACCTTTGATTATTGCATGATTCCTCCTTAATGCAGTCTTTTGTCTACAAAATTAAAGTGTCTTTCCAGCAGCTCCAAAGTTTCCTGATTTACGGTTTCTTTATTTCTCTGAGTTTAGCCTTTCTCGTCTTTTGACGTTATCAGGTTTGATTTTTAAAAAAAAATGTCTGTGGTGATAAAGAACATACAGGTAAAATGCAGTATTCACTAGGTCCACAAATCTTGCTCATTTAAATATTTCATTTGTCCTCTTTAGAATTTGTTATGTGGAGATATTAATATATTTGGGCTATAAACAATGGTGGCTGGAAATTTTATTCAAATGCATACACAAGCAAAATATTCCATGTTGGCAAATATCATTGTAATATTCAATAATGAAGCAATTTCCAGGTTGCATCCCAGCAGGCTTACAGGCCCTGCTTTGCCAGTATGATGATCTGATATTATGCGGCTTATGAACTGAAAAGTCCTGTGCAATAGATGTGACTTTTCACAAACCCTCTTCATTTGGCAATCAGTCTATTTCACAAAAGTATTTTCCATTTGGTGTCAGATTTTTGTGTAGTGGATATGCATTGTTATTTCTTGATGAGTGAAGTTTTTCTCCAAATGTATATTGTGCTTCATGTTGGGCTCTTAATATGCCTGTAGCAGCACAGGTTGGTGGGTCCTGCGTGCTGGTTCTAGGAACCATCCTATTCCAGGGCGATTTGCCAGAGGGCAAAAGTCAGAGATGAGGCAAGAGCAGCAAAGTGACAAGCTGGAGCAGGGTGAGGCAGGTTCGGGATCCAGGCAGATCTCTCAGGGCAGGTGGAGGCCTAGAGGTCTGGGCCCAGGAAGGAGGCCAGGGGCAGGATTTCCATGACAACAAAGTCTGGTTTGACGTTGGGGAATGGGTACCTGGTGGAAGAGGGATGAAGTATGGGGCAGAGTAGGGAAAGAACCAGTAGGACAAGAACACTCTAATCAGAAGTTTCACTTGTCACCCTAGCTTGGGATATGGTACATATCATGTGGGAAGGCAGGTCCGTGGGCCTAGATTGCTTTGGTTCTGCAGGAAGCTCTGCAGTGAGGATCATAAATCAGGGTGGTGACAGCCAGTCACTTGTTCTGGTAAGTCATCAGTCCAGATGGAGCAGACGTTCAACCATTTGACTGTCAAAGTCAAGGGTCACAGGAAGATGATAAGACCTCCAAAATTATAAATAAAAACACATATCAGAGGTCCAAGCAAGGGCTGAAGTCATGGAGGTGACAGGTCTAGTCTGTGCCCTTTAACGTGGCCAACTGTAATGCCATGTCCTGATAGAATCTCCATAGGCTTAGGCCTGGCGGAATTGTAAAGAAGGCCAAGTCTGTTCTCAGCTTCTCTCTCCATACCTCTCTTAAATGCTTTCATTTAATCACATCTTCATTGATTAATTAGGTTGCTAATACCGGCCCCTGAATCTTGGGGGGAATACTACTGTGATGAGGGTTTGGGCTGGGGGGACTCACCTCTCTGTTCATCAGTTGCCCTTCCCTGGGCTCTGTGCTTGTAATGGTGGCATCTCTGGGATTAAAAAATATTTTCCAGATCTTCACATCATAGGTGGCAATATGAAGACCAAAATAAGGCAAGAGCATGCTTAAGGTTGTAGCGTGACCCAGTCTCCTCCACTAAATTCAGAGAACCACTCAACAACCACCCCAGGGCAATCTTGACTGCCTCAGGACCCCTCCAATCTATAGCCCCCATCCTTCTGCCTCTCTTGTGGACCATCTCCTTCCGCAGGTCAGTGGCCTCCCCCGAGATAAGGAAGAGGTAAGGAAGGGCAGGGGATGTTGGTTAGTTAAGGGAAGGGGTAGAGATCCTCCATCAGGAACGTCTACTCCACTGGCTTTGTTTTTCTTAATCTAGTTTGTTAGTTCCTATTACATGCAACAGTAGCAAAAATCCTTACTAATCTACCCATTCAATCCAAACAATCTTATGCTCATTATATTTGCCGGGTGCCCTTTCATTTTTTGTTTTTGTTTTTTATTATTATTTTTTTTGAGACTGAGTCTTACTCTGTTGCCTAAGCTGGAGTACAGTGGCGTGATCTCAGCTGACCGCAACCTCCACCTCCCAGGTTCCAGCAATTCCCCTGCCTCTGCCTCAGCCTCCCGAGTAGCTGGGATTACAGGTGTCTGGCACCACACCCAGTTAATTTTTTGTTTAGTAGAGACAGGGTTTCACCAGATTGGCCAGGCTAAGTCTCGAACTCCTGACCTCAGGTAATGCACCCTTCTCAGCCTCCCAAAGTTCTGGGATTACAGTGAACCACCGCGCCCGGCTGGCCAAATTCTTTACTACACATAAGGTGACTGTGATAAAAAAATTTATATAGCCAAGTGATCTTAGTATGGAGGGATCTCTTATTTGCCATGCTCTAGGACTGCAAAATAAGGAAGGACATGAATTTCACAGGTACAAGCAGTACTGCAAATACCCACCCCTGATCCACCAAACCTTCAGGACCACCACTGAGAACAGGCCTACAGAGGATCCTGCAAAGAGACATATGCCACCGTCATTGTTAACCATGGATATGAATTAGGCTGAGAAAACACTTACCACCCTACTGGGTATTTAAATCTGACCCTTGTCCCGGTGTTAACAGCACAGCGAGTATGTCCCTCCGTTAACTTACTGATCTCATGTGAACGAGTGATCATCCTGCTTTTTACAGGTTTCTCTCCCTGGCACCATCTCACTGTGGTGCAGCTGAGCTCACTACATAAAGCATGGAGTGATGATAAAAATAAATTGGCTCTTTCCCTTTGCAGAGTTTCAAATCTTGAGCGCTATGTCAGGGTGGATCCGTAAGATTTCCCAAGAGTGAGCTTAGAAACCTGAAAACCAGTGTTTGTTTTTTCATGAACTTAAAACAATTTATCAGAGCACAATGTAGAAGTCATCGCAGCAAGCTCACTAGAGGAGAACTGTATGCTTTTATGGAAAAAGAACCAGTAACAGAGCCTTAAGAGAGACTGTTAGCTAAAGTTTAATCATGCTTCCATTCTTCCTTCAGAGGGTAGAGTTTCAGCTTTTGACTGTTGGTTTTTTGTGAACAAAAAACTTGCAATAAATTGATGTTGTCAGTAAATTTCAGTTGTACGTTTTGTTTCTTCCAAGAAAAAACTGGCCATGCAGAAGTCGTCCGAGTGGTGTACCAGCCAGAACACATCAGTTTTGAGGAACTGCTCAAGGTCTTCTGGGAGAATCACGACCCGACCCAAGGTAGAGTGATGAGTGAGCCAGTATTTAATTATCTTACTAATTACAGCTGGGATAATTAGTGTTTGAGCTGCATGGAAGAGATGAACCTTGAAATCACACAGGAGCTCAAGAATATGATTGCAGACATTTATTGACGGAGGAGAGGAGGGGCTGGGGAGAAAAAGGGTGAGAGAATAAAGGCACAGCCACATTCAACGCCCCTGCCCCCCTTACAGCTGTCAGGGGTGGGAAAATTCCCACAGAGGAAGATGCCAGACAATAGCGATCCGTTCACCTTTGATTATTGCATGATTCCTCCTTAATGCAGTCTTTTGTCTACAAAATTAAAGTGTCTTTCCAGCAGCTCCAAAGTTTCCTGATTTACGGTTTCTTTATTTCTCTGAGTTTAGCCTTTCTCGTCTTTTGACGTTATCAGGTTTGATTTTTAAAAAAAAATGTCTGTGGTGATAAAGAACATACAGGTAAAATGCAGTATTCACTAGGTCCACAAATCTTGCTCATTTAAATATTTCATTTGTCCTCTTTAGAATTTGTTATGTGGAGATATTAATATATTTGGGCTATAAACAATGGTGGCTGGAAATTTTATTCAAATGCATACACAAGCAAAATATTCCATGTTGGCAAATATCATTGTAATATTCAATAATGAAGCAATTTCCAGGTTGCATCCCAGCAGGCTTACAGGCCCTGCTTTGCCAGTATGATGATCTGATATTATGCGGCTTATGAACTGAAAAGTCCTGTGCAATAGATGTGACTTTTCACAAACCCTCTTCATTTGGCAATCAGTCTATTTCACAAAAGTATTTTCCATTTGGTGTCAGATTTTTGTGTAGTGGATATGCATTGTTATTTCTTGATGAGTGAAGTTTTTCTCCAAATGTATATTGTGCTTCATGTTGGGCTCTTAATATGCCTGTAGCAGCACAGGTTGGTGGGTCCTGCGTGCTGGTTCTAGGAACCATCCTATTCCAGGGCGATTTGCCAGAGGGCAAAAGTCAGAGATGAGGCAAGAGCAGCAAAGTGACAAGCTGGAGCAGGGTGAGGCAGGTTCGGGATCCAGGCAGATCTCTCAGGGCAGGTGGAGGCCTAGAGGTCTGGGCCCAGGAAGGAGGCCAGGGGCAGGATTTCCATGACAACAAAGTCTGGTTTGACGTTGGGGAATGGGTACCTGGTGGAAGAGGGATGAAGTATGGGGCAGAGTAGGGAAAGAACCAGTAGGACAAGAACACTCTAATCAGAAGTTTCACTTGTCACCCTAGCTTGGGATATGGTACATATCATGTGGGAAGGCAGGTCCGTGGGCCTAGATTGCTTTGGTTCTGCAGGAAGCTCTGCAGTGAGGATCATAAATCAGGGTGGTGACAGCCAGTCACTTGTTCTGGTAAGTCATCAGTCCAGATGGAGCAGACGTTCAACCATTTGACTGTCAAAGTCAAGGGTCACAGGAAGATGATA